CTTCTAAGTGCAATAGTGAGGATGAAAGATCCTTTTTGAATAGTGCTTTTTTGATAAAACAGCAGCTTCATTGAGAACTCAACGATGTACCAGGCCTGTCTGAATCAATCCTTTATTTAAATCTTCATTTAACATTAGGCCTGTTTTGCACAGCAAGTCTTAAAAGATAAAAGAAAAAGTCAAGTACTTAAAATTTTGGACCATTGTCCGACCTGTGTTGCTCAGCTTTCCTTGTGCCATTCTTTTGAGCTGATTGTGCTATTAGCTTGCAGCGCAGGGGGGCCGCGGCTCTCATCCTTTCCGTCAGAGTAAACACTTGTCAACACAGAGCGCCTTTCAATTGATCTACCCGCAAACTGATTTAATGAAGCCCTTGTTGCAGCCAGGCATGGTCCCACATAATCAGTTCCATGTTGTCTGAAGAACTCGGGGAGATGGTGTCCTCCAAAATCAAACTGAGATGTTACGCCAAAATGACATGGCAGTGCTCCCCTGGCGGCCTTCTTTAAGTCTTCTCACGGTGAAGTGTGTCATGTCACAAGACATCCTCATATATGCTGCTCTTGCCGTGAGCTTAGTTTTAGAATGTTTTAGCAGTCGTTTCTTCCCTTACAAATCGCAGCTTTGTGTTACAATCTTGATCGACTGGAGATAAAGAATCCACATGGATTGAAATCCCCCGGTAGGTGGGAGGATCTGCATGATTTTTCTAAAAAAGGTCATTTGAAATCTCTGAACTGCAGTAGTCAACCAACAGTGTCCAAAGGGCACTAAAACATATATGCACTCAGCCTGAACTTTTGTATACATGATTAGCATTAAGCTGGTAATTTATGTACTTTCTTACATTTACACTATACCGGCATTCAGTACTGCATTTCCTGAATGATGTGTTTCCATGCATAATTTTTTGTATTCAAGACCCAGTAGCTTGCAGAAGATGTACCACAGAGAATCTGGTAGCCATTGAACACAACAATCAGGTTTAGTTTGTTAGAAGTACTTTTACGTAGTTGAGTTGAGGAACAAACAACTGTGCTTTCTTGTGCTGGAGGAACTGACATTTAGAATAGATGAATGATGAGATGATGTATAGAAACGTACATGGGAGAGAAAAAAATTTCACATGGGAGAAAAAACTAAGAGGGAGAAAAAAAAACTGACCTTGCCCTTAAATATAAAGACTTTACCTCAGTATTCGGTTCCAGGCATAGGTTTCAAATAAATGAGAGACAGCTGAAGAGGATACCTTGGGCAGAGGGATATTCACGATAGAAAACATACTCAAGGTTGACAGACCGAGCCAGTTGATATCTCTACATTTGGCATAAATCCATTGCCCAGAAGTAATTTTTCCCCCCATGTCCCCTTAGGGGCTCTGTAGGTGTTCGAGGATACTGATATATTCATTGTGAACTGAACCTCAAAATTTTACCCTAGCGCTGCCCACTGCCATTCAGTTCAGTGCGATCTGGGGAAGCTGAGAAACAACCTGTCTTCTGTGGCTGTCTCCAGGTGACTCTCTAAAGACTCACAATAGTTTAATTTGCCTCAGGAAAGGAAATGACAGTTGTTTTCTACTCCAAATGGAAATTGATTATTTAGTGGTGTGCAGATGTAGTGGTAACGGGAGAAAAGAAATTGTCCAATCAGAGCTGAGTATGTAGATGTAGATTAAAGGTACCCTGTGGAGCTTTTGACCATAACCTGAGTTAATACACAGAGGTTTCATGAGCGGGTCCCTGTCTTGTTAGTGTTTTTTGGTGATGTGATACAGGGTCCTGCATGTCATTTTACTCTATTTCACAGATCAAGTGAAGTTCGTGGGTGTAATGTATTTTTTCAAGTTTTCCCATTTCCTAGAGGCTTGTCTCGGGAATACTTGACCATCAATTTCCAGTTCCTTAATGATAACCTGTTACCCAAAATGTTTTTTATTTTTTAGACAAAATAAGATTGAAGTCAAATTGTGACTGAAGAGAAGATTTATTTATTTCTCAGACAAAAATCTACAAAATATATTTTCTCTTGTATTTTCCTTACCACATTAAAGAAGGCTTTTTTGTTTCTGAGGTAGTTCTTCTAATAGTTGTCATGGTCAGTGTTTATTTGGGGCTTTTTTATTGCCTTTTTAATAATTAGTGACAGCTGAAGAGTGACAGGAAGGGGGGTGGGGAGGGGATGACATACAGCAAAGGGCCACAGGTCAGACTCAAACCCTGCAGCAAGGATTCCATTTCTACCAGCTGAGCGGTGCCCCGCTCGGCTAATGTTTTATGAGGGAGGAAATGCATTCAACACATGTATTAAGCCACAAGGATACACACAAAGTGTTTTGGCAAGAAACAGTCAGTGAAAAGACAAATTTAGTTTGTTTACAAGAACCTCACAAGGTACTTTTAAACCTGTAGCCATTTTTCTGGCCACATGGGGGCTGCGGAAAGCTGTGAACACAACACTGACATATTAAGTTGATATGGTGAAGTGTTGCTCATTTACACATTACCAGCAGTTACAGAGCAACATTAGCATTCATTTGGAGTCAGTTCATGTTTCTGGTCAGCTGGCTATCTCTGTTTTTCTGTTGTCAACTCCAGAGGGAAATATCTGGCTCTTTAAAACTGAGCCCTAAAAAAAAAAAGCTTGTCTTTGATATCCCTTCTGATTGCCTTGAAGCTGCTCATCAGGTTCACTTCCACAGCTGTGTGCATGTATTAAGTATGACAATGATCAACTGTCTTTAGCAGGTTTTGAAATAAAGTGTCTCCCCTGCTGCACATTTAAAAAAGTCAATGACTGTTTTGTCTCCTTTTTTGGTCAAAATGAGGGAGAAGAAAGATAAAAGAGAGAGACAGACAGACTGACAGATGGACAGACAGTCAGTTAGACAAGATTGAAAGCAGCACAGAGCAGAGAACCTTAATATTTCAGATCTAATGCATTATTTATACCCTTGGCGAGTCGGCTGAGTCTGCTGGAGTGCTCTTGGGTGAATGGAGAGTTTTCGATTCGGCGCCACGTGTGTGTACGTGTGTATCTGCGTGAGCGTGTGTGTGTGGGTGATTGGCGAAGCAGTGGATGAAAGACAAAGATGAAAGCGGCAGCCTAGAGGCTCTAACTGCGAGATCCATCTGTTGGTGGTGTGAAACTCTGAAGTTACTTTAGCTCTCAGGTAGGCACCCTAGGTTGTCAGCGATCAGAGGTGGGTGTGTGTGTGTGTGTGTGTGTGTGTGTGTGTGTGTGTGTGTGTGTGTGTTTTATAAGAAGTCAAGGAGGCGGGGAAGTGATGCAGATGAGAAGCTTTTGGACAAACTACCTGCTAGCAGCAAAGTCATGAAGCCATACCTCTTATTTACAGTACAGTATAAAAACACAGTCAGATGCTCTCACCCTCTCTTTCTCTCTCTCTCTCTCTCTCTCTCTCTCTCACACACACACACACATACACACGCACACACACACACACACACACACACACACACACACTTAGGGACTGTACAAAAATGATTTGGATGGGTAGGGGAGCTCAAAGCGTTATGAATCTTTTTTTTTTTTTGTCATAGAGGGAAACTAAAAGACCCACAACTCAGTGTTTCAAAATAATATCAGTACTAACTCACTACAGTTGAGTTATGTAACCATTAATAACTAAAAATAACTAAAAGTGCATAAAGATTCTATATATTTTTTTAACATTTAACATTTTAATGCAACAATAGTTTGCACACAGCCAGCAAAATGTACAATAGCTAATGTCATAGTTAACTGAGAATTCAGCCACTATATTTGTGAGCCAGTAGATAATAAATATAACCAGTTACCAAGCAAACCTGAAGCAGGTGCCAGATCTGAGGCTTTTGAGGGGACGCAATATCTTTTCTCCTTCTGATTCCAAATATCAAAAATAAATTGGAATTTGGATGATGCTGTAGCCTAATTAAAGAAATGGTCTCAAATAGAACACAAATCTGGGATTGGAAAAGTGGTTTAAAATGTTAATTATGGTTGAATGATTTCTCCCATGTTCCATGTGTAAAAAGAATTAGGTATAATACAAAAATATAACAACAAAGAAATAAAAAATATATTATTATCATATTAATTCATCCATTTTAGAAAGTTTAAAAACATGTTTAGTCTATACATTACCTTACTTTCTGAGAGTGTGTTTACTGTTTACTACTACTTTATTTTATTTCTTTTTAACAGGGATAATGCACATTCAATCATCACTGCAAAGGTGTTAGTCAAAGGGCTGATTTCAAAGGCTGTGAAATGGAACTGTAACAGGTGGAACATTGAGGAGGATCTATTGTCAGAAATGGAATATAATATTCATAGGTACGTTTTCATTTGTGTATAATCACCTGAAAATAAGAATCCTTGTGTTTTTGTTACCTTAGAATGAGCCATTTTTTATCTACAGAGGGAGCTGGTCCTAGATAGGGCCTTTGGGTTTTTTTTGCTAATGAATAAAAATAAGAGATAATAAGAAAAAGTTGAAAGACTCTTCCTTCCTCTCCCAGAAAGGTCAGACCAGCTTCCCTTCAGCTGAAAGAAATAATACATGCTATAACAGAGTCCGCCTTATAATTTCCCTACGGTCCCTTACAGATTCTATACATCTGTACCACAACTGAATCTACAGTGTATGAACACACTCACAAAACTACATTGTCATACCACACAGGGACCGGTCCACCAGAACACGTGGTTTCAGCATCTTCAACACACTTTTACGCACGCCCACACGCGCAACACGGTCCACTGTTTGCATATCGGCTGCTTCCTTTCAGTCCCCTCTCCGCGTCTATCCATCACGGTTTGACTCTGTACGCTTTAGCTTCCTCGCTTTGCCCTCCTCCCCTCCACCCTCCTCTGTGTACTCAAACTGTGAGGGGGCCGGTAAGAGCGCGCAGACCCCGCCTCCTACCCTCCTATTGGGCTGTATGAGGATTACAGGCTCGGGGGTAGGAGGGTGTGGGTGGGGGGGGGTTGCAGCGCTGTGTCCGACAGCTTTGCAGCGGCTGAGCGCAGCTTGACTCGCCGGCTGCTCAGCGGGGACTCTCCTTAGTATTAGAACCAGAAATATTCTTAAGACGGCAGGGTAACGCGTTTTAAAGCCTCCGGAGGATTTGGCAATGCCTCAGCCGGGACCTGAGAGCGCAGAGGCGGACTGAGTCCACAGCATCGCATCGCTGTAGTTACATTTGGACACATTTCTCGAGTGCGTCTCCTCCTCACTCCACCTGCCTGCGCGCGTCGGGATCAAGAAGCCCATGGAGGGATGTCGCGATGCTGTGCTCAAGGAGAACTAAAACTTTGGTGTCGACATGTGTAATCCTGAGCGGCATGACCAACATCGTGTGTCTCCTGTACGTCGGCTGGATCACCAACTATGTGGCCAACGGGGGTCCCAAAGTTGCGGAGAGCGGCGGCGAGGCGGAGAGAAAGTTGGATGAGGACAGCAAAGGGGAGACCCTGAGGATTATCGAGAGGCTGGAGCGGCTGGAGAGCGTCGTCAACGAGCACATCAAAGGTCAGCGCAGCGAGCTGTGGGTCCTGTCAAAGTTCCCAGGGGTCATCGCGTGTCAAAAGCAGCGTTAGATTGTGGCTGATGTGGTTAGAAACGGGACCAGTTCACTGTTGATCACCAACACATGAACCTTAACTCCCTGGAATGGTTCTTGTACTGAAACATAGTCCATTATGCAGTTCATTGTCCTACATAGAAATATCAATAATAACTTTTAAGAAATTATGAAGCCGAAATTAAAAACATTTACTGCTTCCAGCTTCTTAAAAGTTAGTCTTTGCTGTTTTCCTCTGTTGTATATCTTCTTAAGCTGGATATCTTTTTGCCTTAAGATCGGACAAATTAAGCAGTTTGAAGTTGTCACCAAGGACTCTGGGAAGTCGTGAGGCGCATTATACACTATTTTCATTTCATACACTAAACGTTGAATCAGAAAAATGATAAACAGGAGAATGGGTGATGGAAACAATCATTAGTTCATTGATGTGCTGCAAACGATTCCCCCTTTAGTTACAGCCTCTGTAATCCCTTATTGTCCCATAAACTGTCCACATCAGTCCTTTGATATTGATAATACTGTGCGTTTTGAAAAAACAATGTCAGTCTGACTCATGAAGGCAGCCGCTCAGACTAGTTTTAAGAGATCTCAAAATACACTGCTTTGAATAGAGCGTTGTGTCTGATATCGATGTTTCATAAAAAATACTAGTTAAAACTAATTAAAATAAAATCCAGTCTTTCTTCCTCATTGTAAAATCCTATGCATATTAAATTATTGTTCACTTCAAAGGTTTAACTGCTGCACACCAGCTGTTTTCCAATACTCTGTATATGTGCACTGAGGATTCAGTTGCGTACCGAACCACCACTGGTCTTCAGACTAGATAGTGCTGCACTTCCCTCATTCTGCATCCTTATATTTTGAGTAGTTTGCAAACTATTATTTTTTAAAAGATTACTTGCAGCTGTGTGAAATCTGATAAATTGCCTCAAGTGATGTCACTAGAGTCAGCGTGGGTTTGGGCTAGAAAGATCTCATCTCCACTGGAGTATTGCAGCTCGAGGCTACATTAGCTGCACCCCTGACAATCCAGTTTCATTGTGGGTAATGTAGGCACCAGGTTTTGACAAGACAGTAGAATGAGTGGCGTAAACAAGGATTTTTTTCTCGGTTTTGATCCACTGTGTGTCCCCCAGTGTAGGAGAGCAAATCTAAATAGGTGGACTCTTAAAAAATGACCTATACGAAGAACCGTTTGTCAAAATAGTTGCAGATTTATTTTCTGTCAGTCGACTAATACACTCATTGTTTCAGTTCTGTACCACATACAACCAAATTATTCACATGGCAAAAAGGGCACAAGGGACAATAAGGTTTCCATAAGCTATGAGAAGGCCACTGTAAGTGCCACACAGCTCATAATGCTAAACTATGATTTGGAGTAGTGGTCACCTGATGTTGGTTTTTCAGTGGTTGATATTTAGAGAGAGGGCTGCTGGTGGCTGATATGTAATGCTGATGTCAAAACATGAAAAGTCATGTGTAATTCTGTTATATTCTACAGGAAATGTATGCATATGTTTACAGAAAGATGCTCTAGACTTATAGTACAGCGGCTTGAAGCCCATTTTTCCACCACCTCCCCAAAATTCACAGGGGGGGCACTAACTGCAGATGTGTCTGGAAACATTTTTTGTGTATCGGCCTTGTGAGCACAGAAGTCAGCAGATGCAGATCATCTCACAATGCTAGATAATCACCCCGATTTCTAATTTTGATTGATATCAAAAGTGAGTACAGCATCAAATCCGTTGACACTCAGTGCCCCATTTTGATGTACTATTTGTTTTTGCATCATCGACCCATTTATGACCAACTCTTAAAGTCCAACCTAAATTCAGAAATCAGATTAGGTCATTTGTCTAACAACACTATTCAGGTCAGAGCCAGACAAACTTTTTACGTATCAGAATTTTCAAACCTCTTCTTCCAGACGCCAGATAAGCTCTCGTGTCGGTCTGTTTAGTATCAATGGGAACAGATGGTTTTGTTCATTGATAAAATGTTGCAGTGGTACACACACAGGACTAATAGTATTCCCCCTGGGTCCTCCACATTTTAATTATCCTCCTCAGAGCTGCACATCCATGAGTCAACACACATTAAGAAGTGGGACAAACTCTTCCTTTATCCTCTGCTAAATGGGACAGTACACGACTCACTAACTGAACGTAGGATTTAGGAGAAAGATGCACTCCATTGCAGCGGCGAGATGATTAACACTGGAGTGTTCTTCGGCAAGAGCTCCGCTCTAATGCCCGATAGACAGCTAAAGAATGCAGTTCCTCCGAAAGATAAGGGCCGTAATTTATCAAACATCTCCGAGAAGGACTGTTGATCCAGGATTAATTTTCTGTTTCGGATGAGCTTGTTGGGAACGCACTGCTAATCAGAGAGGCTGAATTAATACTGATGAGAGGGAAAACATCCTTTCAGATGCAGACATACATAACTGCTGACATGTACAGGCACAGATAGAACTATTACACTTGCAGTATGAGGCATTTGTGCATTTTATTTAACTCTCGATACAAAAAAGACAAGGTTTTACATCATATTTTGTTTTGCCATTATTTCCTTTGCATCAGTATTCAGCACCTAATCGCTCTTAAATATATACTGTAAATAATGCAGGTGAATGCAGTTTCAAAGCTCTGGACTTCATACTGAGGATCGATAGAAAGCAGGTGCTAATACTTGACAGAATTCAACAAGTTATACTGGAGCAGTAATGTTATACAAAATATTTTTAATATATGCAAATGAATTGACATTTCATTCATCAAACAGGCAGCAGCAGGGCTGTGAATGATATTTGCCTTTCATGTTCTTATTAAACCTCTAGTCCTAATTAATTTAAGTTTCTGTATGTGCCCAGCTTTTAAGATGGGAAATAATCTGCATTTTTGCCACTGCAAATGGGTGCTGTTCACATAGAGCGGTTGAGCCAACAGATCATGGCGTTCAGACTTTTACCACTGTATTAGTTGCTCAGGTAATAAAGGGAAGTCAAATGTATAATACATTCAAACATGAACAAAGGCAGCTGTTGGGTCACAGTGTCAGCCTACAACAGGGGGCACTCTGTTTCCACTCTGGATGGGGATTGTAAAGTGTACTGTCCCACTGATTCAACATCAGTTTCATACAAGTGGGAAAAGATGAATAGACGACATTGCCTTGTTCACTGTGGGACAGGATGAAATGCAAATATGAAACGGTGCAAACTTTTACACGCGACTGTATGTGCTGATTGATACGACCATCAGAATTTTCTGATGCAGCACTTTAAATCCTCCTAACTGTTCAAAGTGCAGCTCCTCTTTGTGCAGAGAGATGTTGGTATGATACAAAGCACACTCATCATTAACATGGAGAATGGCAGACTGATAGTGTACTGAACTGTTCAGAAGTGCTAATAGAATCTGCATAGGCTCCAGGGTTATAGCGGGTGAGTAAATTTAGCCGCCGGAGTGCTGGCACACTCTTCTCCTCCACTCCGCTCGGTCCTCGGAGTCGGTGCCAGATTACATTATCAGCCGGGGGCTGATGTGTTTATGTGTTTATGCTTTGTCACTGATACAAAAAGACCAGACTGCAGAACTGACATGCAGGTTTGAATGAGGATAATACGTGTCAGGTTGGCAGAGAATCTATAAAGTGTACTTAGGTAAAAAATGAAAGAACTTTTCATTCTCTGGCATTAAGTGGAGGCTGACTCAGTAGGTTTATTAATGTTGGAATGAGTGTTACATGAACATATTACTAATACTTTTAAGCACTAAATGTTCCTGTACTTCTAAAAATATTATGTTGTCACAATCGAGTGCATTAGCTCTGTGTTGTGTCGCTTGGAGTTTGGCTCTCTTATTCTGAAGCTACTGCCAAAACAAGTATATAACATACGGTGAACTGGTGGAGTAAAGTATGTAAAAGATCTCTTAAATTGCTAAATAACTTCAGACATTATTTAAACTCAACTCACTGTTACGAACCATTTCATCATTCTGCTTTGTTTCCTTACAGAAGCTTTTATTTTAAAATTTGCTTTTGCAAAAGCCAGTTTTTTATTTCATAATGACACTTTTCACAACAGTGACACTTTGTGTTTTTGTTCTTGACAGAGTTGATTATGACTTTCTCTGAGGACCATCTTTAGACTCAAACCGCTGCTGAGGAAACTGTGAAGCTGCTGCTGTTTTAACTGGTTTTGATTGATTTCACCAATCTGCCTAGCTAGTTAGGTAGCATGTGTAGCTTTGGTTAGCTAATAAAAGGAAGGGTTAGTTGTTGTGATACAAAAAAAAGAAAGATACAAAACAGTTTCAGATTCGTCCAGTGTGGAAATACCAGAGGTTTGTTTTGCAAGGCACTAGTAAGTCTTTACACTCAAGTCCCAAGTCAAAACCACTGCATGGTTTTTGTATGCAAACAAAATTATGTTTGGTATCATGTTAGTTCTTCGTGGTTCTCTCCTACAACTTGATTGGATGCTGTCGGATTGGTTCCAACAAAGTGGATCTGGGGAATTTGTTGTCCACTTGCTGGGAATAAATAGCGTAAATGTTAGTTAATGCAGGAAAAGAAGGGAAATGAATTGATTCGTGGCACACTTTTTAAATAACATACTTTTTAATCTTTGGGCTTTGGGGGAAGGTATCAAGTATTTTAAGTGTTAAAGTCTAAGTCGAGCTAGGGGCCCATTTAGATTTTGTCAAGTTGAGTCTTAAGTCATCAAATTTGTGCCTCGCACGTGGAGTCCACACCTCTGTGAGATACTGTAAGTCCAAAGAGAAGAGAGTCTGCACCCGTTTCTCTAGTGAAAGCAATACATGAAATGCTTCAGCAGAACTGAAATCTCACATTTGTGAAGCTTCGGTATCTCAGCCACATACTCACACTCTATGAAACATGTTAAAATAATCAGTGGAGTTTCAATAAT